ATGACAAGATAAACAGTAGACAAATTATCAACAGATGACCATAAAGACCAGGTAAGCCCGCATACACCAGCACCAGCAGGTCAAAGCTACAGACCCCTCACCCCTCGATCTTAACTACATGTTAAGGAATAACCAGAGGAAGAGGTCAAAAAAGTAAAAGCAAGATGCAATAGGGCAAAAGTTCTATTTTAAATCCAAATCCAGAGTGAAAAAATTGGTCCATAAAAATGAACCAAATTGACGAGTTGCCTATTGTGTGACTTGTAATCGCTTGTAATGTACTTACGGAAGGCTGAGAAGGAAGCGGGGAAGGCGGTCTCCGACGCCCCGGGGAAGTGCGGTCCCGGGCCGGGGGGCAGAGCGGCGGTGGCGTGCAGCGGCCGCGTGGGGCAGCCGGCCGGCGTCGACGGCATCCTGGGGACGCCACCGAGCTCCACGGCGCGCAGCACGACGGCGCCGGCGGGGTAGCCGCGGATCGCGATGGGCTTGCGGAGGTCCTCGGGCGCCGCGGACGCGACCATCGCGTCGGCGGCCTCGGGGGACGGCGTCGGCGGGGGCGTCGTCGTCTTGGCGGCCGCGTCCTCGAGGTGGCCGTAGATCCTGGCGAAGAACTCCCTCGGCGAGGACGGTCTCGGCCGCGGCCTGGCCTCGGTGCACGCCATGGTGTCGTCCGTCATGGTGGCATCGCGACTGAGCCCACGCACGGCGCGGCCGCGCTGGCCCGGGGGTGGGGGGCGTGGCCTGCGCCAGCCTGCGCGTCCTCCGGCTCCACGCGCCCAATGGCGGCGCTCCGCGGCGCGGCGGGGGCGTGGCGGCGCGTAGCGCAGGCTCCCCCGCGCCAATGGGGGCGGGCCGCAGGGGCCTAAGAGGATCGCGTCCTCTCGGCCTCGGCGTGGCGGGCCCAAGATGTCGAGCGGCACTCGCGCGACCGCACGCGTGTGTGTATCGGTGTGGTATGCGTCGGCATTTCACACACTCTCTCTCCGTCATCCCAAATTGCCCCAAGTTGCTGATTAACCCCGCGCACTTCTGTAGTTATGCTGTGCCGCACGCAGGAGTGCGGGCGGGCTTGCCTATAGCCCCTGTCCACGGCGCCTTACGGGCCGGGCGAGTAGGCAACCCGGCTACCCACACTCTAGCCGTACAGTCTAACTACAGAAGTGCGCGGGGGTTAATCAGCCACCTGGTATGTCCTGTGGTTTGGTCGAATGTTGCACTGGTACCAGTGTCCCGCGAAATTGTGAAAACAAGCGCTTGGCCTAAAGTTGGTTCACTAAATGTAGATACCACGGCAGGCCAGCCCCTTTTGTGAGTACAATAGGGAGGGATCCATTTGTACTCACAATAGGGACTGGCCTGCCGTGGTGTCTACACTTAGTGAACCAACTATAGGCGATAGGCCTGTCCTCTCAATTTTGCGGCACACTGCCTACTGGCCCCTTTAGCGATTACGTGCGTTCTCAACTTTTGCACCACCCAGACCAAAAGTTTGAACCGGACTTTTCTGTCGTTGTGGGGAAGAACGATACAATAACGCTAAGGGGTGGCTGCTAAACTGTTATATCTCTTTTATTTTGCATTATATACTCGATGTTACCTTTCAATGGTACACTTAGATTGGTTTTATCAGTGGGTTGCAGTAAAATTATTATCTATTAATATTAGTGACACACTGATGATAGAATTAATAATCCACGATTAATCGGGGATTTCTTGACAAAATTTGTCTCTTGGAAGTTGAACCCACCATCTTCCCCAAAGTTGACACTTTCGGATGCATTTATCATCCCACACTTTATCACAACGTCCATCTTGGCACTGACGGCAGAGTTCCCTATGACGCGCTGCGCTGTAGGCTGGATCGCAGTTCAGAAACACCTGCAGGGCCGGGTTCACCTGGAGCAGCTCTCTAGTGTTGTACTCGTACAGCCAGGTGTGGGGGCAGGGGACGGGGACGTCCAGGTCTGCCTTAAACTTTGTGGTCCTCGTCATGGGGCCCAGCAAAAGCTTCCGCAGGGCGGGGGTTGTGTCGGGAGTGACGTTTCGCAGCAGGTCGCCGGGCGAGCAGTCCACCCACAACGCCGTCAGCGAGGACAGCGAGGGCAGCGCGCGCATGAGCGCGGGCAGCACCTCGGCGTACATCTCGTTGAAGCGATGCTGGTGCACCGACTCAAACACACTCTGTGTGCCGTCGTCCACGACGGACATCTGAGCGGGCTGGAAGCGGTAGCCGGCCGCACCGACTCGCAGCATCTCGACGCCGGAGCGTCCGGAGGACGTCACCAGGTCGATGAAGACGTCCGGGTCAATGCCGGCGTCGAGTACCAGAGAGGCATCCCTTAGCTGCTCAGCGCTGCCGAAGAACGCTCTCGCGGCCGCGACGAGTGGAGGCGTTTGGTATTTCACGACGAGTGACACGGACCTCAACGACTTGCTCGCGGCGATAGTCTGGAGCTCGGGGAGCAGGGGGCAGTTCAGACAGTGAAGATTTGGCATGCTGGCCAGCACGAACGCCGTCGACGCTGAAGTCCAAGTCCGCCTTGTTTCGAAGGTGACCTCTTCCAGGGTGCCGGCGTTTGTGGTCAGTATGAGGTCCACAAAGGACTCATATTCCGCAAGCGTCGCGCCGTTAAAATTATCAAAAAGGCAGGAGAAAACCCTCAGCGACGGCGAGTACACGTTCCTGATTTGTTCGAAATTTGTCTCGCTCTGTCCAACGGTCGTTGGCAAAATGGCATAGAGCTTTTCCAGCGAGCCAGACACAGATGCCAATGTCGCCAGGATACTGTCTACATTTTGAACTTCGCGTGTCAAAAACAGTACAAGGCACCTGAGCCGGCCGAGAACCACCTGGTTGTGGATCATGGCGACCACGCCTCTGACAGCGAGCTTACGGCGATCCAAATACACGCCGATGCCCAACTCTGCCACTGCGCAGCTGCTCATGGCGTAGTACCCACACACGCAGTTGTTGAACGGATGGAGGAGAACCAGCTTCTTCAGGCACGGCGCCAGGCGCATGGTTGCGCACACCACCGACCCTTGGTGTTGGTGGTCGGCGTCGAGACTCATGTGTCGCCACACGTCCCGGTGGAGCGCGAGTCCGGCGAGCCGCTTGCACACCAGGCGGCACCGCAAGAGGTCCGGCACTTCGAGGTGCCGCAGCACCTCCAGCAGCGCGTCGTCCACCAGGTCCGTCAGCCTCTCCATGCTCTGCAGGGAAACGGAGGGGTCAAAAAACTCGCACCTACGCGCACGTACACGCACGTGCACGGACACAACCTCAACCACGATATAATGAACGACCGATTCGATAGCCCCTGAGGTGGCGGCGTAG